GTTGGTTGTGCCCACGCATCTTTGGGCAGCTCGGTTTCCCCAACTCGGGCAACTTCGGGTGCGACCAACAAACAATAGCCTTCGCTTGAAGCGACGAACGACAATTTGGGTTCAGCAGACGAAGCCGATGGTACACACAAACTGCTGCTTGGTCCCAGAAGAAAGAATGTTTCTCTGGGTCCGTAAACCTTTTCATATCCCCATGGACAAGACGGTTTGTTCACGATGAGCGTCAGTGTAGATGGTGTATTAGCTGAAAGGAAAACGCAGGTACGGTTAGATCTGCTGCAAGGTATAAAAAGTGAGTGAATTTGGATAGATATCGATGGAGTACAAAGCCCGTGGTTCACTTCTTTGACGTCAGCAGCGACGCTGGTAAGATACCAATGGTGGAGGGAACTCAAGCGAGGGGATGTTATTTAGTTTGATCTGCAACAGAAGGGCTCGATCTGGATTCCAAGATAGCACGTGACAGTGAATGTGCCCCGAAAGTGGCCATCAGATCGCTTGCATCAATTCACTTTGATCAGAATTGTGCGCTAAACGTGCCGAAAAACGTGGTAACCAGAGAACCAACGGAATAAAGTTCATCGGGCTCGGGTGGCTAAGACCGCGCTCAAAGGCAGTCTGAGCGTCTATTGATCAGATAATGTCCCAGTCAGCCAATCAACAAATCGCCTGGAGGACCAATCACAATCAGAAGTAACACCCCGTCTATCAGACGTATATAAACACGAAAAGTGCATAGTTCAATTTTTTCACTTTAATCTACTGACGATGTCGCCTAAATTGATGATGAAAAGTTTACAATCAAACTGCCAAACTCAACGAGCAGAACACCAGTCACCTACATGACTTGAAGTACCAATCTACCCATCAGTAGTGCAACCAAGGGCTAATTGGTTATATTCATGCACGTGACTTGTCTCCGTTCGCCTTCCCTTGGCATTGTACACGCGTCAGTCATTTGTAAGGGAATGCGTGGTCAGTAGACGATATCAGATGTTCAAACGGTCAACAAGTCTCTGCGATCATGTCAATAGTCCGATGCTACTTTCAGCTTCGTGAGGGAGTTCCTGCTGTACTCGTCGCTTTAAGTTGCCTCCCATTCGTTGTGTGTCCTTTTATTGTGGCTGGATTCTCAGTTTACGGGTACACTAGTCAACGTCTGGTAACAGGGAACCATTTGTTCCACATGTGAACAAAATCAAAAGCTAACTCAGTGGTGTGTAGAGCTCGTCCTTCAAATCTAGTCCTTTTTGCATTCGAATGGACATTGTTCATTTTTAGACGCAATACACTACTCATAAGGTTGGTGAAAATTCTTCGACAGCCCACAACCACTTTCGCCCTTCATCATCAATTAGGCACTGTCCCCGAGTTCCCGTTAACCTTGTATTATACTTTTAACCAAATTGCATGAAATTAGCGAACTAATTTGGCTCATTTTTGTTGACAGGAAGACTCATGGTCTGGGAAGGAATGTAAAGAAAGCTCTTACGGTCACCTACGTGGATACGAAACCCTTCAACTTAGGTTAACTGTCCACAGTGCGCTGTAACATCTAGGATGTTTTCGGAAAAATATTTCCATTTAAATTCCGTTGTAAACTAGGCCACTGTGGACGGATGACATTACACTAATGACAGAAAAACGGAATGAACCAAATCGCAGTTCTCATAACTTGACTAGTAGGAAAAACTCACATTCACTTGTGGGTCTTCTGGTTGCTGCTGGCGACGGTAAAGTGTAGTATTCACACATCAAATCTTCCAAAAACATTGGCATGGTCTGGTCAAGATTGTCTGGATTCAGTGAACTTTGAGCAGTGGGCATGACCAGTCTGAGCATGTTTGGTACCGGTGGACACTGGCGAACGGAGGCGAACACTGGATGTTTCTCAGAGTCAAAATCCGAGTCGTCTTTGACATCTGAGCTTTGCGTTACCGACGATTCACTTGGACTGGTCATACGAGATTGTAGCAGAGAAACAATGGACGGCAGGCTGGCTTCCAGACGATCACTTCTTAGAATGCGTTTGTAAGAAGAGATTTTTTCGATCAGAATATAAGGCTTTTGGTGGTACTGAATGAAGTACTTGGGGTCTGAGCAGCAATAAACAGTCATTAACAAATGCTCTCCAGATGCGCGCCATGCTGTTGGGCCGGAGATGTGTTGCCACTTATTCAGCATGGGTTGGAAACGTTGAACGCGACGAAAACCTTTAGGGGATGAGAGTGTAAAACAAACAACACTTATGTAGGTTCAATGAACGCGGAATTAGCATTTTAGGTTTTTGAGAAGGCCACATTGAGTTTGTCCGTGACTTGACTTGTCAACACCTCACATAGTTGCTTGTCAGGACAAAGTTGAGAAAGCATAGAGCTTTATCTATCCCACTTGTTTAGAGCTGGTGACCATTGCAGCCGAAGTGCTTGCTCCGTACTGTGTAAAAAAACTGTAAAGACCAATTGTCTTTCCATTTTGAATGCGTCCGTTCAAGTTAGAACATTCAAGTTCTGAAAACACATCATGCAAGACAACGATACTCTGAACTTATGCGATTTAACCAACAAACACCCAAGTTCTGAGGCAACTTGTTTAGTTCTGCGAGAGTTTAGAACACTCCTCAGGTCTACAGCTCATCAATCTCATTCACTACTGCTTCCGAGTTTCACCCGACACACGGGTTCAACTGCTGATGCTCACGATCCTAGTACTTTTTCAGTCATGACTGACTCTCTGTTGAGTTATCAAAGTGAACAAAAGCGATGCTGAAGCACCTGGCACCTGATCACTTCTTGGGGATGAGAAAACCCCTGTATTCGCAGTGATGCAAGACTGTGTGCACTATTGGCATTCCAAACAAATTCACAAGAGGAAAATACCTTGATGAGCAACGGCCGTGGTGCGCCTGTCTACACACAGTTCCAAGAAAGTCGATATTCGCCAAAAAGAAGTTGCTAAGATTCCTACTGTCGGGATGGCCAGATTCCTGAATACCGAAATCAACTGAGACCCACAGCTTTACTAGATGCTGACCGGACAGACAATGCCCCGTCAATATGCAGCGCGTCACAGACTTGTATCGAATCCAGACAGCGGAATACAGCGTTGGACCAAGGTCAGACAAGGCCCATGCAATATGCAGCACGTCACAGCATCGTACCAAATCCAGACCGCGTGCGTCAGCATTGGACCAAGTGCAGACAGTGTCCTTCCAGTAAATAGCTTGAAAACGCTGTACTTTTACACTCGCACGCAATCCCGCTCTCGCACTCGCTTGCTCGGAATATAGCTGTTGTGTTGCCTTCTGTGAGTCTTTTTTTTCTCCGGCACTAGGAGCTGGAGCGGGTCAATAGCAGATACCACAGATTGGCGAATCAGCAGGTGTAACACGCGCTCGCACTTGCACTCGCACTCGGTTGTTCACACTAAGACTATTGTGCTCCTATCGGCCAGCCTTTTTCCGGCACTAGGCACTAGGCCCACCTACTTAATCAGAGACCAAGTTCTTCTTATGCAGAATCGCCCCTCAGTTCCATTTTGAAGGCCAAGCCAGGCGAAACAAACTATGGTTTCGTGGAGGAAAGCTTGTTTTCTGACTGCATTGCGAATGGAAAATAAAGTGAGCAAAATATCAGCGCACGGCTGAGTTGAAGGACCAAAAGAGTAAATGTTATGAGCTAGGTAACTGTAGTTGCTTTTTGAGCTCTATGAGGAAGAAAGTGGGAGTTTCTGGCGGTCAGATTCATACAAGAGGATATTTTTTGTTTTGGATCACATTGATGTAGGCATAAATAACATTTATTTAGGCCAGATTTGGAGTGGATTTGTACATCGGGAAAAAACTTCCAACCGTTCCACTTTTTGTGTAAACTGTAATTCGAAAATACGACATTCAACTATGGCAATCCTTCGGTCCGTGCCGCTCACCTCAAGTTAGGGGGAGAGGGTTCCCTTGCAGAATGTCTGAATCAGAGATACATTGTCAAGCCATTGGAAAACATGTAGAACGCACTGAAAATTCGTGTATGGGAGGAATAAGGATTTCCAGTGTCACGGAACGATCATAGCATGTGATCAATGATGAAAGTTCTGGTCATACTTCACTGATAAGTAGATAAAAGTGCGTGCTCAGTAACAGCGAGTTTCACTCACTCTAAAGAGTTTTGGTTCGGGGCTCGTAGTCTGAGTTTGCATTTCTAGCGTTCTCGACAAGCAACGCTGTTTTTTCAGTGTTCCGTGCATATGAAATCGAAATTGATTTTAACTTCAATGAACCGTTGTGTCGAATAATTCGTTCAACATTCGAAAGTTCAGAGTTGTTTATTGCTGTGATGATGTTTCATGAACTTTCTGAGTCAGTCACAAGAGGCTACAGTACATTTCTCATCATAATTGTCCTGAGATTATTTGATAATATCCACTTAATTATCTGGACATCATCATCATCACCATCGACAGCA